TTTGAATCAGCCTTTTATCGTTTTAGAACGCTTAGCTATTTCGGATGGGTGACGTCAACCAGGTGCTCCACGAGATATTTTTTATTAAGAGATTGCTTTTTAAAGAAGAAATACCTTTCCGAAGTTATGGCGCAAGCTACGTTAAGATGTCGTTCACACACCAGGTGTTTTTTTTATTTTTTATTGTTGTTGGTCTATGACTTTGCCGTAGCATCTCGCTGCTTTTCAGGCTGCAAGCGTTGCGTTACCATGAGCGGGGTTTTTTTTTTTTTAAGTTAAACACAATTCAACTACTAGAAACACGTGTTAAGAGTTTCCGTTCCACTCCGTCGTGATGTTTTTAAACGCAAGGAACACGTCCTGTATGGTCAGCCCCGCTGTAGCTGAAGAGGAGGTCCTGGACAGCTTCAGATGTGGATGCCGTCGGCTCTCTTCTGGTCTCTCTGGTGCAGTGGTTCTTAACAGTTCAACAGTTCTATCTCAAAATTGTGAAATGTTTAGGACCACTTGATCAGGGAGACACTAGAACAAAGATGACATGATAATATGCTTTGTGACGATTCCTTAGATCTATACATGTTTAACAGCTTTTCAAATGTTTAAGCAGGTGCCAGTCAAACGCTTGAGATGGGATTATGCGGCATTATGACGTCATTTACCCATTTTCAATTGTTACAAAGAGTAAAATATTCTCATTTTAAGTATTGGTTGTTGCTGACGCTAAAGTGTTCCCTGTGTTTTTAAGGTTGAAGTATATAGTTCGAAGTGTATTCTTTTGACGCACTCACTCTCTTTCGCGTAAAGGTTGGACTTAATTTTTAAATAATGTTTGAGGTTTTCGGCGTTTAGAGGTGCATGTTCTAACCTACAGATAAACTTGGGACAAATTACTTGACAATGTGACCACCAATGTGACAGTCTACTTCGGATTTTCACGTTTAATTCAATGTGTTAATTGCTGTTTGTTTGTAACTGTTTGTGAAATTTACTAGCAATGGGTTTGGTATAGGCTTAGTCCTAATTACAGTCTATTACAGTTTCCTTTTACATTTTTTCTGCATTTTTATTCATTTATCTGTTTTTTTATTATTATTATTATTATTATTATTATATATTTTTTTACATCATGTGTATGAACCCGTCTGACACATTTAACCTCTATTTTAAAGTCTTTCTCTCTTGTGCCATCTTGTGTTTCCCTGTGTAACTTTTAATACTTCTAACACTGATTTGTAATCAGCTGCTTAACACGTATTTTCATTTAGCCTATTCATGATAAACATATAAGCTTCGTGCCCCCTCAAAACCCTCTCCCCATCTAAAGGGTGACAGGACAGTCACACACCAAACTGACCGGTAGCTGCGGTGTGTGTCGTCAGTGGTGTGCTGTCCGTGGTGCTGAAGCTCTTAAGTCTCTTGGGGACCATTCTCGGTATTTGCTTGGCCACATGATTAAATTGTCCGAGTCTTAAGATTTAACACTTTGTCTTAAGGTTTGACAACGGCACGACTAGGTAACGAGAGCGAACAAACACAGATGAGCGCAAACTGTCATGCAAATCAATAGTCACAATTATCGCGTCTCAACAGTTTCATCAGTTCATTAAGCAGGCAAAAGACCGACCTGTGACCCTGCTTTTAATTAAAGTGTCCGACGAAACCATACAGAGAGGCTCCAAGCTGTGCATCACACGCCCACTGTACACATATCAGACTGTTTGTGGACAAATCGATTGTGCATGTGTCTTGTAATCAAGAGGGGCAAAATAGAGGGGACTGGAGAAACATCTCATGAATTGCAAATTAAAGGGATCTCTTTAAGATTAACCCATGCCAGAGACAGAGCGAAACAAATGACAAAATATCAAAGAGCATGCCAGTTTACATAACAGTACAATCGTTTTAATAATAAAAAGGGCAAAACTATTAAATGTTATTTGATCATGCTGCAGATTATACAAATGCTTTCGTTGTGTCATTAAAAACACACAAACAAGGAATTTTGAATCATTTCCCTGCTAAAAAAAAGTGAATCCAGCCTAAGCTTGTTGGCTGGTTTTAGCTGGTCTTCCAGCCTGCCTGGTCATAGCTGGTTTGCAGGCTGGTTTTAGAGGCGTTTGACCACTTTAGCTGGTCATGGTTGGGAGACCAGCTGACTAACCAGCTAAAACCAGCTGAATGCCAGCCTGGCCAGGCTGGGAGACCAGCTTGACCAGTTTAAACCAGTTATGACCAGTTTAAACCAGTTATGCCCAGTTTAAACCAGCTAAGACCGGCCAACCAGCATAGGCTGGTTTTATTTATTTATTTTGTTTCTGAACGTAATCTTTGTTTTGTCGTCCTTTGGCGCCCCTAGCGTCCAGCTAAACATCAAATTGATTTTTCAACAATTTGCTACACTATAAAAATGATCTATGAAGTAGCATATAAAACAAAGATGATTTAAGCACGTTTATGATGGATGTACTAACAGAAACTACTCATGCGGATTATACTGTTGCTATAGCTACCACAGGCGACTTTTGTCGCGATTTTTCTGTATCATTTTAATGCCAGATGAAAATATTAACTTTGACTAAAACTTGTACTTTTCAATACGCACATGCAATTTTCAAGATCCCCCCAATCTTTCGTTTGTGCCTTAATGGCTCCTCCTATAATTCACTCCAAAAACTCGCTCCACTCGAATGCTTCAATTAAACCATATTTTGCTGTCCCTTGTTGTTGATAAATAATTCATGAGCGTTCAGTCCAATCAGTTATTCTATTTATCCGACTCCTCCCAGGCGCTAGACGCTTTCTTTCTTCTTGATCTCAGAGGCGCGTCTAATAGCGGCAAAATTCGCTAAACGTTCCGTCTTGCACCCCACTGGCGGGAGCTCAGTATTTTGAGTTAGAGTGGAAGATATTTCAACAGTCTTAATGAGGAGCCCGGAGCGATTTGCGCACATACTCAAGGGCAGCAGATGTCTAGCAGCACTCCCGTGAGACCCGATCTGCGGAATTTCATGATCGTGTCGGGATGACCCTGCGCTATCCTGGAGAGGAGAGTGAAAGAAAGGCTTGTGTACGTGGTAAATCATCTTTACAATGGCTTGTAATCATGAGGCCTTAAAGGTCTAATGCATGAGCGACCACCTTCCCCATCCAAACTAATCTGAAACACTGCTTGCACGCGCTGGCTATCAATGCGTCTTTGTATATTGGGCCAAGTTGATTAGCCAATATCACTTCTAATTTACAATCAGACTTGTCAACAGTCAACTGCCTAATTCCCTTTAATCGGACCGACAAAACCCCGCTCCTTCAAAAGACAGTCTACAGGAACGAGTATAGGCTATTATTGCAATAATGCCTGCCTGCTTATCTACAGCATGCTCCTCTGTATGCTCGAGATAAGAGTTTTTATTAAGAGGGCAGCCGTAATGTCCTGTGCTCGGCTTCCAAAGCCCAGCAAATAACCGACTTTATCTAGTGCATTAAGCTTCGTATTTAAGCTGCTCAATAACAGGCCGGTTTTGCAATCGGCTGCTCAGAAAGCACGCACCAGGGAGCCTTTTGGTGGATCCGCTTTGGCGTTGAAGGATCTGGCGTTCAAAAATAATGGCAAGTTTTGAAATGAGCCTTTGAAATCGCCACTCAACAAAGCTATAAAAAAAACATTTTATTTCGTCAATAAATAAATAAATAAATGCTACTTTTCCAGAAGTTTCTTGAAACGAAAAAATAAAAAAATAAAAAAAAATAAAAAAAAGTAAATAAAAATAAGGGCAAGCATTCTACTTTTAGATTACAGTTTTCATTTTAAAGCTAGATCGTGCTTTCCAGTAAATAAATGGTGTAAATTAATTAATAAAATAGTTAATTATATGACATATTTATCTCTGTTTATCTATTAAAATATGAGAAGATTATATTGTCTCCTGCACACACGTTCCATCAAAAACTCTCATAGACATTATATATGGGATCTCATTATAAACATAAGTTTTAAAGGAAAAGTTCACCTAAAAATGAAGGTTTGCTGAAAATAACTCCCCCTCAGGCCTTCCAAGGTGTACATGAGTTTGTTTCTTTATCGGAACAGATTTGGATACAACTTTTTCACTGGAGAAAGCTAATTATGGATGGAGGACTCATATTTGAGCAGAAAAAACGGTTTTATATTAAAAAATGTCTTGATGGATTTGTTTCTTACAAACACCCAGCTTTTCACTCCACAAGACATTAATTGATGGGCATAAGTCTTGCTTGTTTACTTGGATTATCAGCTTTTCATACTCTCATTCTGACGGCACCCATTCACTGCAGAGGATCCATTGATGAGCAAGTGATGTAATGCTACATTTCTCCAAATCTGTTCAGATGAAGATGGCCTGAGTGTGAGTAAATTTTTTCATCGCACACTGGATGAGCATCAAGCGCAAGAGGGACCACACACTAGCCACGAGGATGTCAGAGCGGAGAGAGAGAGAGAGAGAGAGAGAGAGAGAGAGAGAGAGAGAGAGTGAGTGAG